GATATCCACTCCCTCATTTCACTACACACAGACAACTACGGACATCAATTCGACTGGAACAACGTTCAAATATTAGACAAAGGAAATAACAAGAATGCTAGAGAATTTTTAGAAGCTTGGCATTCCAGTGGATCATCAATCAATAGACACATCGAGATAGACAAAATTTATCAACCAATAAGAAAGAAACTTCACACACAAAGGGTCAAAGTTCAAGTCAAAGAAACAACCGGTTCCAATACAAGTAACCTAGAAGGTGTGAAAACACACACAAACAACCAATCACGTCAAAGGTCACCAGGAGAGATGATTAATAAACTCGTGGAGAAATCTAAAAGCTCGATTCAAATCGAAGTATGCGCTCAAGATGTCACCCAGTAAGGTGATGAAAGCTTCGCAAACTAACCACCCAGCTCAGAGAACAAAACCACATCAAAATCATCCACCTGAGCTACAAATCTTCTCTATCATATGATAGACAGCATTTTACATCAACGGGTATGTCGCAAATATTGGTGGTGAGAAAATATGAACAAGATCGATTCAACAACCAATCACAGCAGGCTTGGCGTAGGCAGATGCAGTTAACATATAGATGATCTGACATTCAAGAAACAGTCACAAAGAGATGCAGAGTCAACTTTCTGTAAGAAACAACCAATCAGATGACCATGTTTGTCTGCTTGAATAAGCTATAACAATGTACATGAAATAAATACCAATCCACAACGTCCCATCTCATTCATTTTCTAATAACGTCTTTACTTAGCCCCCATCATATTTCATTAGACCCAACATTTTACAGCTCTTTATGAATTTGATTCGACTTATTCTATTCCTATTCTCTGTAGGGTACCGGTTGTGCACCAAATAGACAAGAAGGTATGAAATAAAAACAACTAGCTTGAAAATAAATTGTATTAAAGCCAAAATGGACATCATGATAGTAAAACATATATGGGTAGTATTATACACTGCAAATGAACGTTGTCAGCCTAGGAATTAATTGGTTTCCAATTATATTTCCTTCATAAATGCATTTATTAATGATATACTGCACTTACTTATTTTATTACACTTTAACGATTCACCTTAGCACTTTAACTTTTCTAAAACAGCTTTCAACCCCTTGTAAAAGTTGCACTTACCACAATATTGGTTGGTTATTACCTCAAAAGTCCCACATTCATATTTTCGTATCCTAGAAGATGCATGACCTTTAAATACGTAACATATCATGCCAATCACGCAACAGCCTTCAGTAGTTTGTACCAAGAAGAATAATATTTAAAAAGTGGATGTAAACCCGGACATATTCCTTGAGTAGATGTTAAACTGACACTTGTCTTAAACTCCAAGACACTGTCGCTTATCGATGGTTCATCTTCTCTACTAGGCCACATACTATCAGCCCGTAGCAAGAATTCTGGACCTTTTCACCACTTATATTTAACCACATTAATATCAATAACTCCTCGTGATGCCAGATCAACTGGAATTTTTCCAGACAATGCGTACCTCTACTGCCCGACGGTTGTTAGTTCACGAATTTGAGATACTCTGTTGGCTACAAAACATGCATATCTTGCTGACTCGTTGCGTATATAATATATTACAGACATCCAGTCTGTTCAAAACGTTACAGGATACCTGGGATAATCCAACTCTTTACACACCGTTGTGAATAACTGCGGCGCTAGCAAGGCTTCAGTAAGTTCTAATCTCGGAATCGAAATCGTCTTTAGAGGTGCAACTCTAGATTTACCCATCACTAGGCGAACATCTATATCACCCTTAAGGTGGTTCTGATGTAGACGGCTGCTCCAAATCCAACCTCAGAGGCATCAGAAAAAACACGGAAGTCATTTATGTCATGATTTCTCGGTGGCTTAAGTGGGCGTGAGACGGAATGTAGATCCAGCGTTCTTAAACTGTTAACCCACTTTTTCCACTCTTCACCGTGTCTCTCACTTAATGGGTCATCCCACTGTAACCCTTTCCTGAGTGTCTCTTGAAATAATCTCCTCGCCGGAAGTAGATAAGGTGCCACTAATCCAAGTGGGTCAAACACGGACGACAACACGGAGAGCACATCTCTCCGAGTAACTGGCTTATCAATATCACCAACACTAAATCCAAAGGTATTAGAGTTCACATCCCATCACATACCTAATATGCATTCAACTGGTAGAGTATCAACAGGTAAATCTCGTACAGTAGGTGCTCTGTCTTCTGGAACTATGTGTTTCAAAACCTCTGGGCTGTTCGAGGCCCACTTGGTTAAACGGAAGCCAGCCTTAGCTAACACCTCAGTAATACTTGTCGCAAATTTAACTGCAGACTTACCATCATTGAAGGAGGCTCAAAAATCATCCACATAGAAGCAACAATCAGTGACGTCCAGCAGATCTTCAGAACCAAATGTGGACACTGCCTTTCCTAGAGCAAAATCAGCACAAAACGGCGAGGACGTGGCACCAAATGGATGGAATGTCATCCTATATTCCGACATCTTACCAGAAGGACCATCATCAGACCACAAGAACCCTAAGTGATCTCTGTCACTCTCTGGCACCTTCACTTGTAGGAACATTTCCTCAATATCCGCGGCGACAGCAACTGTAAACTTTCTGAATCTCAACATCAGACCGACTAATGAGCTCACGCAATCTGGGCCACTATACAGATTATCATTCAGAGAGACTCCTTCATGTTTCACAGAACAATCGAACACCACAGGAAGTTTACCTGGCTTCCTTGGGTTAAAGACGGGATGATGAGGCAAATACCACTTCCCTGGCTCGCTCTGATCAACTAGTCTTTCAACGTAACCCTTCATTACATGTTTGTCGACGACATCCTTATATTTGGTCCAGAGGTCTGCATCTGACAGAAATTTCTTCTGTAAACCCATCAGTCTCTTAAGAACAACTTCTCTATTACAAACCAACTGTCTATCTTTAAATCTCCATGGTAGGCCAACGCTGAAAAGCTCATTTTCGTATTTACAAGACTCCTCAACTATTTTAACTGCCTTCAGGTCTTCTACAGAACGACCCTTCTCTGAGACACCGCAGTCACAAACCTCCTTGTCATACATATTTCTAATCATAGTCTCTAGTTTGTTCCCATTGTTTGCAGCTAATGATGATATGTGGACTATGGGTATAGATCCTCTCACTGTCCATCACAGCGGTGTTTTCGTCGCGAACAGATCATCTCTACCTCCGAATCTCTCTTCGAATACCCTGTGAGCTTCTGGCACACTACATACAGTGAGTATTCTCACTCTACCATCTTGCAGTGTTGGAAACGGTATGTCACACAAGTATGGCTTACCGACAACTGTTTCAGGACTAGGTACGGTAGCTACGCCGAGTTTCATGCTGGAGGTAGTGTAAGCAGTATCTACTTCAACGGTTTCCTCAGTAGTCAAGGATTCTAACTGAAATGACACTCGTTCACGTACTAGCGTTTTCGAAGAATTGAAAGTATTTAGAATCAAGGATTGCTTTAAGCCCTTAATACCCAAGCAGCCAGCCAGCTAAGCATCTATCAATGTAACGTCTGAGCCATCATCCAACAGTGCATAAGTCTCTGCCGAAGATTTCGGTCCTTTCACCTTAACTGGTAATGCCCTTAAATAAACTTGTGGGTTGTCAAGGGGTGTCAGCCACGTCTCGTAAACCGTTAATGCCCAGCTGTTGCTACACTGTTCCTTGAAGTTTCTCAGAAACGCTTAGTAATAACGGACGCAAAACCAAAACACCGATTGGCTACTCAAGAATTCCTTATTGTCACACCAACATATAGGCAGCTTTAAAATTAAGTTTTAGCTAAGGTCTATGAACAAATATTACGACAATAAATCACAATATTACTTCTGACAGTTTTGGTCTGACTTCTTTCTGAACAGCGACCGATGAGACGATGACTGGTGTATTGATGCCTGCGCGAAAATATAGGGAAGTTGGGTTTGAGCAAACAACCATGAATTGATCGTTCAATCTTCAACTACATTGACAAGGGTTCTAAAGGTACTATTACAATTAACCGAATTCCCCGGTCCGTTTACTGTCCTCAGAAGTGGGTGCATACCGATTGAACCACTACTTCCTTTGTCTGTCGCCCTACAATTCAACTTTGTATGTCCCACCTTTAGACAACTGAAACACAACCGCTTCTGTTTTGCCGTTTTTAACCTTTCTATGGGAGACATAGCAATGAAGCGATTGCAATCACTCAATTGATGCGTGTTATGGCAAACAATACGCTCATCTTTTCTCGTTGTGCCTTGAGCCTTCACTACAAATGCTATCTTTATATTCACCGGTTCCTTAGGTTCTACCTTAGAATGCGAAATGCTGGCGAATTTTCCCGTCGCTTGGTTGACACTGTCTTTCACCAGTCTCACAGTATCATCGAATCCGGGCTCCAAACCATCTTCCTCTGGCCGGGAACTAACCTTTATGAACTTCCTTTGTAGACGAACCGGTAATTTCTTGACAACTGTCTCAATCACCGAACTTCAGTTTAACTCATCCATATTGTTAAGATAAACGAGAGTATTTCTGTATACCATTAAATTATCCAAGAACTCTGCGAGTTCCTTGGAGTTGTCCCTTAACGGTCTCAAAAATGCCACGGGATATTATAAATGGCCTTCCAAACCTTTGACGTAATATCCTCATGGCCTCTGTATATCCTTCGTTAGGAGGCATGAACTTACAGCACTCTATAGCTCTTGAAGCAGCTCCAGTGCAATACTTCAACAAATACATCAACTTCATTTCATCATTTCATAAAAATCCACTCAACATGACTTCAAACTCCTTTACAAACTGTGGATAGTCAGCTGGGTTTCCGTCGAAACACCGAGGCTCACATTTAGGTAGTTTAAAGTTCCTATTATCCCTAGACGACGATACACTGGCATCAACCTTATCATGCTTAACATCACACACATCATTACATGTAACTGAAAACTCAACATGGCTTACTTTCCTGCTTGCTTCCAAGACGCTTTCTCCCTTCTTTGACCCGCGCATCATTGAACTTGACCGAAAATTCCAGAAAATTTGCAGCAGCCCGTTGGATGCCCTCACCCAAGAGGCAGTAGAACTTCTTATGTCCAAGAAATCGTTGAAAAGCACAGTCGAAACGCCTATATCAGAATTCGATGCCGAGAATGGCGATTTAGGACTTAGTTTTAAAACTAAGACTGCATCACAAACTGTAGTGTCAAATACAAAAGAGGCACAGAGTGTCCAAAAGTATGTTGCGGCAACGTGTGACATACTTTCTCTTTCTGGTATTCTGCTGCCGAGCCTATTATCCTATTTATCTCCTGGCCGAGGTCGAACAACCCTCCATTTAAACTGAAATGAAGCTGGGCTCCAGATCAATTACTCATATATGATTCTTCAAGGATTGGCTAGTATTTACTCAGCATCCTTGAAAAAATCCACTGTCACCATAACAAGATGCTGTACAGCATCATATTCAAGCGTTGTCAACGATCTAAAATGGTTTACATATAGCATTCTACTTGTTAACCTCGCCAGATACTAGCTTGCTAGGCTACTAGCTTACTAGTTTTCTAGCCGGTCCCAAGTCCGGGTTAAGAGGGAGGGTTGGGGCGTGGTGCTAGCAACTCCACCCCTGTAAAACAACCAAATCACTACAGAAACTTCAACGAATAAATATATTAAAAATTCTAATAACCTAAGCAATAGCCTTACTTTTCGCTGGAATCGGGGAAGTGAAATGACGCAGGCTGGTGAAAGTCTTCGGGAAGCCAGTCAGTCGATGTGCCTTCTTTCGATGAAAGCAAAAGTAAGGATGGGCACCTGGAATGTTTGTGCAATGTACGAAACTGGAAAGGCTGCCCAGATAGCCGCTGAAATGAGAAGGTACAGAATAGAAGTGCTGGGAATCTGCGAAAGCAGATGGAACGGAACTGGAAGATGCCAACTACCTACTGGAGAGACAGTAATCTTTTCCGGCCACCCAGAGGACAACCATGAGCACACCGAGGGAGTGGCCATCATGATGTCACCAACAGCAACCAAAGCTCTCATGCAGTGGGAACCAATCTCCTCCAGGATAATGACAGCCAGGTTCAACTCAAAAGGAAGGAAAGTTACAGTCATTCAATGTCAATGCTATGCGCCTACAAACGTCTCAGAACAAGAAAAGAAGGAGGCGTTCCACAGACAACTACAAACAGTAACGGACAACGTCCCAAATGGTGATATCAGAATCCTGATGGGTGACATGAATACGAAGCTGGGAGGAGACAACACAAGAAGAGAACTCACCATGGGTTGTGAGGCCCTAAGCGAAATGAACGACAATGGTGAACTCTTCTCAGACTTCTGCGCCTTCAATGATTCGGTGATTGGTGGCAGTGTGTTCAAACACAAGGATATACACAAGACGACATGGATTTCACCAGATGGAAACACCAAGAACCAAATAGACTTCATCTCAATTTCAAGAAAGTGGAGACGGAGCCTACTGGACACAAGGTCGAGGAGAGGAGCAGATGTGGGTTCAGACCACTATCTAGTACAAGGGACTTTCAAGGTGAAACTAAAAGCCTCGAGGATAGCTGGAGATAGACCACAATGCAAGTTCAACACTCAGAAACTGAAGGACACAACCACAGAAGACACTTTCACTGCAACTGTCAGAGCAAAGCAGGAAACACTACGCGACATCACTGAAGAATCATGCGTGGAAGAACATTGGAAATCTTGAAGGCGATTCTCAACGAAACGTGCTCAACGGTTCTAGGAAGAAAGAAGAGACAAGACAAGGAATAGCTCTCAACGGACACTTGGAAATTAATAGAAGAGAGGAGAATGGTGAAAGAGAAAATGATTCAATGCAAGGACGGACAGGAGAAGGAGACACTGAGCTCAACTTACAAAGCACTGGACAAAGAAGTGAAGAAGAGTGCTAGGAAGGACATAAGACGATTCTACGACAAGCTGGTCATTGAAGCTGAGAAGGCATCAGGCAAAAGGGACCTGAAAACATATCAGATAACCAAATCTCTATCCGGGAAGAGATCAACACAAACGAAACCCATAAGGTGTACTATGGCGTACCCCAAATATTCGTCAACCTCATTCAACAGCTGTGCCACAACCGCACATGTCAAGTGATCCACAACGGAAAACCCACCAAGGCATTTGGAGTAAACACAGGAGTCAGACAAGGGTGCTTACTATCACCAATGATATTCCTAATTGTGGTGGACTGGATCATGCGTCAGACAGTGAGTGGGAAACGAGAAGACAGGAATATCCTGGACCGACGTGAAGAACCTAGAAGACCTGGATTTCGCGCGTGGATGACTTATGTTTGATGTCACACACAATCGAAGACTTACAAGCGAAAACCGACAAACTGGTCGAAGAAGCAGCCGGTGAAGACAGGACTCCAGGTAAACATAGACAAGACGGAGGTTATGAAAATAACCAACCAACAACAGCAACAACATCCAACGTCAATCACCATCAATGGGAGGGATTTGAAAGAGGTTACTTCATTCATTCACTTATCTAGGGAGCATTGTCTCAACTACAGGAGGAACGGACGAGGATGTCAAATTGAGCGAGGATCTGGAAGGCGAGAAACACATTTATCAACCTGAAATCAATCTGGAAATCTTCGTCACTCAGCATCACCAACAAAATTCGGATTTTCAATACAAACGTCAAGTCAGTCAGTTCTTCTTTACAGATCAAAAACTAGGTGGGTGAGTCATAGAGAATATTTCCAACAGCCTGTTGCAGACCTTTATTAACAACTGTCTTCGCTCTGTACTGAAGATCAGATGGCCGGAAAGAATCACCAACAAGGAATTATGGGAACAAACAAAGCAAGAACCAATCACCCAACAAATATGCAGGAGAAAGTGGAGATGGATCGGACACTCGCTGAGGAGACCGCTGGGTGACATCGCGCGTCAAGCCCTTGAGTGGAACCCGAAAGGGAAGCGGCGTGTGGGACGTCCAAGGGTGACATGGAGGAGATCGTGAAAAGAGGAGTTGAAAGAATATGGACTAACATGGATACAGGCAAAAAGTACAGCAGAAGACAGAAGCAAATGGAGACGTGCAATTGAAGCCCTATGTTCCACTAGGATCCCAAGGGAGCAATAATAATAATATATTTCTACTTGTTAATCAACTTACTCGTACGGAACAACCATGCAGCGGCAAATGGCGGCCTTGGCTGACGTGGGTGCAGTAAAACAAACTGCGTTACAACAACCAATATTAATCCGCATTCAGTACAATATACATTCGGTGCTAATTGCAATAAAAATGATGACGAAATCATACAGATAAATCACTCATTTTAAATAAATACCGAAATTGAACACAAAACAAGAACAGGATACGATGCGTACACAACTAAGTTATATGGAGAGATTGACTTCAAGCTTTATTTTTTCCCAAATATTTGTAATCCATCAAACACATACTTGGGTTTTTTGTTAACGCGAAGACAATATTTCTATATTTCTTAATGCGCTCCACTGAACGACTAGCTATCAGATTGTACACACAAACTGATGTCAGGGAGGACAGCAACTTTGTAATTACACCTTAAATCAAATTCGTGTAATGTAAATAATACTTATCCATGCCTGTATCACTGGTGTGTCCTACATAGATAGGAATAAATATAAATATAAAATATAATCAATATAAAACATCAAGTAGTTCCAGCATGGTAATACCAGCTGGTGAAATGGCCACGCCAAAGCGCAGCGTGTCCGGTTCACGACTGGCCTCTAGTTGCGGCTAAGACAGTGGAAGTAACAAACTCCACTTAGTTGGTGCGGACTAGTAAATAGCGAAATAAACGTAGGGAAGGGACAGTAACCGGGCGTACTAACTAGTTCTCGACGGCTGTTAATGCCATCCAAACTCCGAAACCTACGGAGCCTAGTTACAGTGTCATCATCTTGAACTTGGGGAATCTAAGAACACAGATCCAGCTGCCCAACATGCAGATGATCTGAAGGTAGTTAGCTCCATTATTCGCGAAATACTTCCCGAAAAACAATTGGAGTCCATATAAGAAGGGTCATTAGAATAGGAAAACGAAACCCTGATTCTACAGAAGCATCCCGGTGACCACTTAAGATGAGGGACGAGATAGACAGGAACGCCATCCTTAACAACGCGTTCAAAATCAAAGATAAGGAGTTAAATAATAAGGCCTGATCGGCCGTTAGAAGATAGAATCAAGAGAAGAGAAGACGTAACTGAACTGAAGGCCAGGCTAGAGAAAGGCGGAAATGACCTCAAGCTATTGGGATTCCGGGTGGTGAAGTCTCGGAAACCAATGCCTCCGAGACCTCTCTTCATAAGCCGGATGAACACGCAGGCGCTTCATTCTGCTATACGAACGCCTGCAATCTTGGGAATAAGCCAGCCGAATTAGGAGAATTATCTGAAAGACTACAACCTGATGTGATTACTATCACTGAGACATGATTTTTAGTGATGGTGGGGGGGGTAGACTTAACTTCACTCGTACCTGGGTACATCTGCATTCGAGAAGACAGAGTAAGTAGTCGAAAAGTTGTCGGGGCTGCCCGATACATGCGGGATGACATAGGGTTTAGGTCGACGATGTCAGAATCACATGATGGCAGCATCAGTGAAGCCACAAGCTGCGCCATCTACTTTAACAAGGGCACTTTGACGATCGGAGTTATTGACAGAAGTCCCGCTAGCCAAGCTGATGACTTCGTTCGCAATCAATTGAGGGCGTGGAGTGGTGAAAACAGATGTCTAGTGGTTGGTGACTTAACGCTCCACATATTAATTGGAGGGAATTAAACTCGACTAGTTTGTATACCTGTTTCGAAAAGGAGCTCACACTGACAGTGCTTGAATGTGCATTGGGACCAATTTATTACGGCAGGGATGGAAAATTTCCAGGACTACCGCAAAATTCAAAATCTCTGTAAGTATACGATTGACAAGAGTCGTGTAGAGTACGGGAGGCGGCTAGTGCTGGATTGTGTTCATTACCCAAAACGGTTGTCGAGTTAGCTCGTATATTAAACGTAGGACTAAAACTAGCATTGGTATACCATTACTTACAAGAATTAGTGTAGACGTGGCTGAGTCA